AAACAAATCATCAAGAGGCATACATTCTTGGGAGTCCATACCACTGAAATTAGAGAGACTGCTTTGGTCCAAAACACACTGCAGAAATAGTCCAGTTTGAGACTGCTTTAATTGCCCTGGCTGGGTACTAGGGAATCCTGGGAGCTGTAGTTTATTGTGGCACCAGAGTTCCCTCTGATAGAGAAGGCTAAATGTCTCACAAAACTACAGTTCCCAGAGTTACTTAGCACTGAGGTAACTTAGCAGTTAAAGTGGTCTTAAACTGGATTATTTCTACAGTGTGCTTTGGACCTTTGAAGGGAATATAGGGGCTATGCAGACGGGCAGGAAAAGATGATCTGAAGTTGCCTTTCCCCTAAGCTGCAGCAACTGCACTGCTTGCCCTGAGGTTGCCCTAAATGGGGATGGAGCAACCGCACTGGGGGGAGTCAATGCAGCTTTTCTGAGGTTGTATTGAAGCCCCAGAAACCACACCGCCAGCTCCAAGGATGCTGCAAAGGGAGATGGAGCAACTGCATGGGCCAACAGTGGCTGCTTTGATTTTTTTTTTGTTCTCAAATGCATGCACACATGCTCAGGAACATCTCTCCATGCCTACACATTTGTGCAGGAAAACATCCCTGCACACCCGCACAGGACCTGTTACAGGGTGGTATATAGTCTGTCACTCTCTGTGCACAGAGGTGACTGAAGTTCGGCAAAGGATCCTGCAAAGGATCTGTCATACACCCACATATCATGCAAGGATTCACTGACCTCTGCTTCCCCCCAAGGAGTGGATGCAGTAGACAGGTGCCACTGTCTGATTGTACCACCCTTGGGGCGAAGGAACGGGTTTGTCAACTGAAAAGACACTCCATCATCCTCCACAAAAGATGTCCCACACAAATCAGGGAGGAGGGGAGAGGTACATGCAAGGGAGGTTTGTGTGGACAGACTAGATACATGCAGCTGGTGGTCATGCAAGGGAGATGGTCAACAGGACACATAGACAAATGTTAGGAGCCCTCCCCAATCATGCCAGGAAATGGTGTGCAGGTCTTATGCTCTAGAACTCTCAACAAAGCACTGACCGCACATGTGGCAAAGAGAGTCATTTTTGATTGACTCCACTTTGTATTGCCTTGGGCTTTTTTCAGAATCGGAGAAAAACTCCTCATAGGAGTTTATCACATGGGGACCATATGAACTTCCATCCCGATAATGATTAAAGTGGCTGCAACCCGCAAAAGCGTACAATATGTGAATGATTTATACACACAGAACACAATGATGCATTAGAAGCTCATTACTAAAGTTAGAAGGAGGGTAGAACGTGCATTTTATTTTCACACAGATGTGTGTAAATCCTGATAATGGTTTGGGAATAACTTTTTTTGTGTATGCGCACAGAAGAAGTAGTTATGTCACCAGAAATCACCCAGAGAAATAAATAATTTTATTTCTAAAAATATACTGTACTGTCTCTTACTTTCCAAGAAATGGTATCCAACCTTAGTAAAAAGAACAAAACCAAAGAAGTAGGAAAGGTAGAAAAACAACATAAAAGTTTGTGTCCCTTTCAGCAACTAGTGTCCCTATCTTCTCTCAGCGGCTGTTCCTTTAAGAGCTCCAGCTAATGGAGAAGGGCGAGGGAGAAGAGACATTCACACAGCCTAGGGAGAAGCAAGCTTTTTCTCTGGGCCTCGGCAGACGGCTTAAAAAGCCGTCCTGGAGGCAGGGAAGAGGAGGGGCAGCCGCACGCTCAGTGCCCCTTCCTCCTCCCGAGGTTGCCTTCGGAGCCGCTGGCCCTCCGCACGGCTGGCGCTCCCAGGGCAACCTCCCGCTGCAG